TCTAGACACAGAATAGTGCCTTCACCCAGAAGATTTTTTTTATACTCTGTGGTAGGCAGCCTTTCCCATCTTCTAACCCCTTTAGCCCCTGACAACAACTGATGTGTTTTCCGTTCTTACAGATTTGCCCTTTCGAGAATGTTATATAAATACAATAATATAATATGTAGTCTTTTGAATCTGTTGAAGCCACTTAGTGCATTTATTATTTCAGATATTTTCTAGCTTTAGGGAATCTTTCCAACTAGATCTTTTGTTTTGTTTAGTTCTTATTTTCCTTTTATTATTTCTTATGTTTGTACTTCCTTTCAATAGTTCCTTTCAGTGTTTGTATTAGCTATTTTAAAGTCCTTGTGTGCTAATTCTGTAAGGTCTGTCACTTCTGTGTTTCTACTGACTGCTTTTTCTTCTGGTTATGGCTCATGTTTTTCCACTTCTCTGCATATCTAGTAATTTTGACTGGATTCTGGGCAGCGTGAATGTTGTTCAGTGCCGATTTTGTTTTTTGCTTTTAGTGTTGAACTTTGCCTTGGCAGGCAGTTAATTGAGTCAGAGATCAGTTTGATCTTTTCAAGATTTATTTTTAGCTTTCTTCTAGTGTAGCATTTATTCTAGGTTGGTTTAGCCCCATTATTAGGGTATGGCCCTTCTGGGATCTCTTCTGAATGCCCTGAGTGTTCAATAAGGACCTTCCTTCTGACAGGTTGAACTCAAGTGTCTGAGGTGAGGTTCTGCACAACTTACAGCTCCCTAGTAGTTCTTTACTTGATCTCATGGAATTTCATCCCGTAAGAGTGCAGCTTAGTATTCTGCAGAAGTGTCTGTGGACCCCTATACAGAGATTTCTGGAGCTCTTTCTCTCTGCAGTTGACTGTCCCTCAAATTCCTGTTGTCTCACCTTCTTTCAAGTCTGATCTTTTGCTCTTTTGTTTCTGTCAGGGTCTTATAAAAATGCCCTGGGTTGGGGGGTGGTATTGCTCAGTGGTGGAGCACACGCTTACCGTGCACGAGGTCTTGGGTTCAATTCCCAGTACCTCCATTAAAAAAGAAAAAAATGCTTTGAGGCGAAAATCCCAGTGATGGCAGGGCTCACCTTATTTCCTTTCTTTTATGGATCATGGTCCTGTGTTGCCTGTTGTCAAGTTTCTGAGAATAGTTTTGTATATTTTGTTCAGCTTTCTAGTTAGTTATGGCTAGTGGTCTTAGTTTGGTGGACTTGTCTGTATTTCTGTGTTAAACAGTGAAAATGACTGTTGGCGCTCTTCCATAGGCCAGCCCTGCAGAATGTAGCTGTCCTGCTTCTCCTGAGGTTACTTTTTCCTATGTGAAATGCTCCCATGTATTCAAAAGATATATGGTAAAGTTCTGTGCCTTTTACTCATCTAGTCATTTTTTTTCAGACGTGCTCTAGTGTTCTGTTGTGTACTCTGTGTGCTGTAGCACTGGTGTGTAACTACAAAGAGACTTCTTTACTTAGTGCCAAGATCTAGTGTTTTGATATACACAAATAAGGCGGCTATATAACTAGATGTAAATAATTAACAACAAGTATGTATCTAGGACTAGTTTAAATGGTTAGCAGTTCATGACAGGCAAGTTGGGACTGCCTTGTGTGAGTAATCTTTCTGTTCTTGAAGATAATAACTTTTATGAAAGAGATTCTGTGCATAACTCTCAAGGGTGATCTGTCCTGTACTCTTTAAATGTATCAAGCTCTATGAAAATACAGTGGTTACTATAAAAAAATTTTTTTAATGTCTTTGCTTAGATTCCATCATGCCATGGGGGGAGTACCTGCCTGGGCAGAGACCAATAGATGGAAAACATCTTCAGATGGTGAGTGTTGACACTTCTGTTTAAGTTAATAAATAGATCCCTATTCCTGTTCTGTTGTGAATTTGAGCTTTCTTATGAGGCTCATTAATAGCTGGTGTTTGAAATATGTCTTTTTTTTTTAATGTCTGGTTTTATAGTCTACCGTTCATCTGAGGGAAGCCCTTTCACAATAGTGTAAGGCTTTTAATACCATATTATCCACTGTAAAGACAATAATGGATGAATTCTATGATTTTTTTCCTTAACAGAACTATGTTGCATTATGGCATAGGGTTAAGTAAAAATGAATAGTAGTATTATTTCTTGATTCAGAGCCCCTTCTGAAGACATACATGGCAGCTAATGTAGATGTCCTCTAGGAAATGGAATGTCTTTCAAAGGAGTATATGCACGTCAGACCCAGATGATTACTCACTTTATAAAAACCTGTCTTTAAACTCTAGATTTTAAGATTGTCTTATTCCAAAACTGTTTTCTGCTTTTTAGATCTTTGACTTTAGATATTTTAAATATGGATGATTTGGCCAAGATCTGATTTGAGTGCTTGGAGTTATAAATTTTAGAGTTGGAATTGACCTTGAAATTCTTGAGGAACTCTAGAGTATATCTTCCCATGTAATGAAGGAGCTCCTTTCTTAGCATCTTTGATACCTGATGAACTTCTATTTGATTTCCACCATTACCTCTCCCTCCTTTCTCCCCACCACTGTCAGTCCTCATTGTGTTCAAGAATAGGGAGCCCTTACAAGGAGCCAGTTGTTTTATATAATTCTGTTAGAAAACTCTGTTTGTTATTAAGTAGAAATTTACCTTCTGGTTTCTGACCAGATACTTTTAGAGGTTGAGGAACTCTTCGTGCTGTGGCCTGACACTGCAAGAACCTCTTCTGCAACATCTGTCAGATGATCATTTAGCCTCTGCTTAAATATTTCAAATAATGTTGTATTCTTTATTAGAGTATCTCTTCCCCTTCTCCTCTTTTCTTTAAGAACTAATTGTTCTAATTTTTTTGTTTTTACTATTTTGAAATTTAATCTCCCTACATTCTGTAGTCCTACCTTTTGAAGAGATATAATCTTACCTCTCTTTCATATAAACTGTTTGTTATTTGAGAAATGTCTTTCCAAGTTCATTTTTAAATATGTTAATCGTCTCTTGTCTTTTAACCTTTTTTTACATGACACAGTTTTCAATCCTTGGTCACCAATTTGCTCTCCTGGTTGAAATATAATTTTATTATCCATTTTAGAATACTGCATTCATAGAACAACAACATTTTAAATCTGTGTAATTAAAGATAGGTTTATGCTCGTTGTTGAAGCAGAAAACCTCCCAGATCCCAGAAGAATTTGTTTTATGTGAGTAAACATAAAACTGGGGTGGTGGGAAGATGATGCTGTATTTCAGGGACCCAGGTTCACAGAGGTTCTGCTCTCTTCAGGCTGGGTCGTCCACAGTTGCCCGAGATGTGACTATAGGAGAAGAGAGCGGGGCTCACCAAGGGAGGTCTTCACTGGCCCGTCCTGGTGGTGGTGCATGATACTTTCACCTGCGCTTTATTGGCCAGAACTCAGTCACGAGGCCACACTAACTGCATGGAATACCAAGAAATATAGTTGTCTTTGTGCCCAGGAGAAAAAGGAAATGGATTAGGTCGACAGTGAGCCAGTCTGTTACCATCTGGGATATCAAGTCTAATACCTTAATGGTACAGATGAGGGGAATCAGGTTCAAAAAACTCGAAGCAACTTGTCCAGGGTGTATTTACCAACAGAGTGGTGACTACCACCCCGCTTCACAGTTACCTCCAACATGTTGGTATTTTTACCTATAAATACTACACCAAGTATCTTTAAAAGAGAAGTACTTCCCCCTTTAAACATAATTATAATGCTTTCGTCATACACCTTCAGAAATCAGTAGTAATTTCTTAATATTATGGATTGTTTTATTGTTGCTGTTTTGTTAATTTAATCCTCCCTCCACTCCTGCCTCGGTCTTTTTAGTTTGCTTTGTGTTCTGCTTGGTCTTTATAGTGCTCTTTGAAGTTTTGTAAATTCTTGTCTATTATGTCTTCAAATACTGTTTTTGTTTTTTCTTTCCTTCTGGGATACTAGTTAAATGTATGTTAAATTTAAAGTGTATATATATATTCTGTGTTCTTTTCTGTGTTGTTTGTGTTTTTGCTTTCTGTACTTCAGTCTGGATATTTTTTTTTTCCGATCCTTTTTCCAGACTACTGATTTACTCTTCAGGTAATTTTGATATTGTGTTAAAAACATCCAATTGGTGTTAATCTTAATTACTGTATTTTCAGTTCTAAAGTATCCATTTGGTTCTTTTTTTTAGATAGTCTAGTTCTCAGGCTCAGTTCTGA